AACTCTTGGGCTACTCTTTTACCAACGAATAGTGGGATTGACCGTCACATTATAACGCCCCCACGGCTGAAAGGGCGAGCATGTTCGGTGTGACGGGGATTCGAACCCGCGACCTGCAGATTGCGAGTCATGCTCCCTAACCACCTGGCCATGCCGGGCCGTGGTAGATAGCCTTACTAACTTTGCCATAACCACACAAATAGATCCTTCCTCTAAAAGTATGTTGTTTTTCCTGAAATATGTGTTATCTTTTTTCCAAAATCATTACTGCTTTATAAAAACTTCGTTGAATTTTATTCCAACACCCCTTGCAAAAGTTTTTCCACATTTTATGTCATTAAACATTATTGAAAATATTTTAATATCCAAAATCAGGTAATGGATTTCATAATCTATGTCTGTACTACGAAATGAAAGTGTAAATAATTAATCATTACTTTATACTGAAAGTTAATGATGAAAATACAGTTAATACTAAAGTATGGTAATGAATTTAATAGTCTTTGTTTGTTTGTAATTAAGCACAAAGCTACACAATGGGTTATCTGTGCTCTGCCCACCATGGGTATCGAAACCAGGATTCTAGCGTTGTAAGTCCGCAGACATGCCGCTGTGCCACTGGAGGGGGGGGGACGAATTTAATAGTAAATCAAAATATGCATAATTTTCCGTCTATGAGGTTTTGATGCATTTTAATGTTTTCTGAATGGTCCTAGTTTCTGGTCCTCATAAACATGCATTGCTACATAGGTTATTCTCAAACTATTTTTTTTTTTTGTATTTTCATATTTAAAGAAAATTTCAAAGAAATTTACACTTTATACTTTATGTCTCCATGGATATAATTAATTAAAAACGGTTCATTGTATGGTTGTAAAAAAAGGAGTTTAGTGACGTCATGCTTACAACAGTACATAGAGAAATAGACTAAATATTTCCTGGCAAACCGGATGACCTGCATGACGTCACTAAACTCCCTTTATACATATCACTCATTTGACTACACCACCATTCCCAGTTTGCCCCTGAAGAAGAAAGGCCCATCTTTCGAAAGCGCTCGATTTTTTTTATTAATTTCTATCCAGACTCCTTGAACCTACGTATTTTTCTAACATCATGAATATATACAGTTTGGTCTATGATGAAATCTTCCTCATGAGAAAGTACACGTGGCACCCGAGTTGAATAACCTAGTTACGCTAGTAATTAGGGTGAGAGGAATTTAATGGATTATTTACACTTAATGTAAGAAAAGCATACTTAATTAGCTATATTGCTTGCCAGGTTGATTTTTAGTTTCGTCTTAAGTACATAGTTTGCTCTGATCATAAGTTAATTAAAGGGGTAGGAAACACATTGTATGCATGCATATCACACTGAAAGTTAATCTCAAAAGACTAACAATTTTTGAGGAATATAATCATTTTTAAATTAATCCAAAATTATCATTTATAGTAAATTTCACGTTAACATTTTTATGTCACAGTACAAACTAAGGCGCTTACACAGAATGCAGAACCCAGAATTGTAACAATATATATATATCACTTATTCGATTACACCACCATTCCCTGATTGCCCCTGAAGAAGAAAGGTCCACCTTTCAAAAGCGCTCGGGTTATAGGGTTTTTATTCATTTCGTCCAAACTGTATAAAAATCGAAACTAATTTTTTCGAGAAAAATGGAATTGTTTTAGTACAATATAATGCCATGTTTTCTCAGTTTGGAACAATATTTTAGACCAAAGCAGTGATTTTAGAGATTTATATATAACATATTTAAGTGACCTCCAGTAACAGTGCCATACTAAATTCTTCTAATTTTTCATTTAAAATGAAGATTGTTTCGCTGCGTTTAGCCTGTTTCCTCCTTTGTATCAGACTCAGTCAAATTAAAGATACTTCTGATTTCTGCTTTGTATTCCAACATTTTCTGGCGAGTCTCCACTATTCTGTGGTCCCTACCCAATTATTCAAAAATAAATAAGTGAATCTGATAATATCCCAATAGATCTGAACACAAAATTGCCAACAAATACATGTCAATTGTTAACTCTAAAAAATTATTACGAACTATTAACAAATCAAAAAGCATTAAATAGCAGAAACAAATAACTCTTAACAGATTATATGGAATTCGATTTCTTTCTTTTGTTTTCTATATTAAAGAAAAACTTCTCCCAGAATACATAAAGTTAATTTTCATTTTCTTTCAGGTAACCTTGTTGGGAGGTTCTATTATAAGTATAATAACATGCATTTGGGTTTTCTTTGGAACGACTGAAGCCTTTATCTCATGGCAAATATACATTGTTGGAGGATTGTTTGGTATAGGTGGAACTACCATGCTTGTGGCAAGTCTAGCAATAACAGCAGATCTTATTGCTCATAACACAGTGAGTGTCTTAAAAAAATTAAATATTTTCTCTTGGTTTAAAAATATCAGTCTTTTATATATTATTACACAATAAATTGTATTTGATTAACTGCATGTGTTAGTAGGATGTATATCAATGTTTAGCTGCCTGAAATGTCTCCAAATTTGTATTCATGATACTTACAAAGGACACAAGTTTAAAAGAATAGACAAATCGTAATTAAAAAAACAGACAGCACTTTCAAAAGAAAGACATTTTTTCTTTAGAGTGAATCAAGAGTAAGTTCTGAGGAAGTCATAAAAAATACCACTGAGGTAAATTTAAATCTGAAACACAGAAGTTAAACATACAACATTAAAAAAAAAGGTTAATAAATGCTTACAACGTATCAAACCCTGACACCCTTCCTCTGGTAACTCAGCAGTTGGTTCCACCAAAGTGTAAAAACACCAGAGCAAGGGTATTATTAACATTAAAACATATATTTCAAATATACTCGAATTATCGGGTTTCTAGATTTATGTATAAACTTCTTGGTTGATAAACTTCAACAGCATATACATAAAAGATGAATACCTTGTGTTACACTGGTACAACAGGTCAAGTTCTTTTTTTAAACAGATCAAACTTTTGATAAAATGGTACTTAAGTAATTTATTTACCTAGAATTTTTTAACAGTACTAGTCCCAAAAGTGATAAATTCCTACCACTGTGTTGCTGTCAACAGATAATTTCGTCACCTCACCTTCAGTATATAATCTTTTCATCAACAGAACAGTGGTGCTTTTGTATTTGGAGCTATGAGTTTCTTTGATAAGCTTGGTAACGGAGCTGTTGTCCTGCTGATACAAGAACTTAACCCAAAACAGTAAGTTCATACTTTTACGTTTTATGATAAACCCAACATCAGGCACTGTACACAATACACGACACGAGATACTAACATGTATTTAGATACTCTCTGGAACAAGAGAACCTTTTAACTCATTAAAAATATACATTATTGGTGGATCGTTTGGAGCTACCATGCTCGTGATAAGGTTGACAACAACAGCAGACCTTACTTCTCATAACACATTCCTCACACAATATATACAATAGTGATAAAGCTTTCTCTTTCCTCCTGCTCTGTGTTTTAGCATCCATCACCCAGAACTGGCTGGGTTGATTTCTGTAATTTTTTTATGGTAACTGGAAAATGCCTGAGAGTGTACATAAGCTATTTTATTTTATGACTTTTAACAAAACAAGGATAAAAAAGCCCATGAAACATTTCTACCTTTTTATAGACCTTTGGCTTTAAAAACACAAGTACTTAATCCGTTAAATGAGTCAGTTATTACTTCCCCAAAGCAGTGTGTGCAATTGGCAATAATGAGGTCATTAGAGGTTTAATAAAAAAAAAGCAAAGAAACAAGTAGAACATTACCTATCTTTGTCCATTAATCAGCTTTTGCTTCCATAATGAGTAACCTCAGCTAATACATATAAAGATCAGAATGGATTGTTTCAAGAGTTGGGAACCTTCAATCATGAACCCAATATTTCATGAGGTTCAACCAGCTTAGGTGATTTAGGTTGGTTCTAACTACATATACTAAGCTAATAATACCAAATAATCTCTATAATAAAAGTATAATAATAATAAAATTGTACATATTAAATATTCTAATCAACACTATTAATGAACGTAACATTAAAGAAAGAAGAGAATAAATCTTACCTATAGAACACGTAGTGGTAATAAAAACAGGAAACCATCATATCACTGGGATATATGAAAAACTACTGGATTTTAGTAAACATTTAGAGTACATATCATACTACATTAAGCGAATAAAAGAAGAGCCATAGACTGTTTAGCTTACAAGATACAACAAGTTTGTAACACAGATAAAAACCACAAAGAAGGAACTTGACAAACTCACTAATGAACAATGGCTATCCGCAAGTAGTTGGAAGGTTGGACATAAATGGAACAGTGAGTAACAAGGAGAAATACAAATAATCACACAATAGTCTATCCCAAGAGTACAGACAGCAAAAGCTCGGGGCTGGCACCACAACAATCTAAAATTCCAACTGTAACAGAGAGAACTAAACAAACATAGAATCTATGAAAAGTAGGAAAATAATTATCTTCAGCATTCAGTCTGAATACATGACCCAAACAATAACATTAGTTAGGTTGAGAACACATGAAACTCAAACATGAACAATTCAGCAGTTGGATTAAATGCCAAACATCATATACAATGGAAGGATACCAGAACAACATACCAAGGATCACAGTTGATTAACGAAAAAAAAATTATACAAGTAATCGAGGTCTACTTCACTAAACACTGAAGTGAACAAAACTATATTTGAAAGGCTTGTATAGTTAAGGAACACAAATAATGCTGATTCAGTTGAAAATAGCAAAACATTGCACATTGTGAATAACGATTATTTCAAATATAAACATATGTATTTTATTTAATGAATATAATTATCATTGTTTATAAAGTCATTACCGAAATTGAAAATTTCTGACAAATGATCACCTACAACAATTAAGTAATATCTTACAAAAAAGTTTCTCTTAAGCCAATTACATTTGTTAAGGTTATGCCAAGAAACAATTCCAAGGGTCTGAAATGTTAAAACGTTGTCAATTTATTATAAGTTTGATGTCATTTATTAATAAGATTTGAAATATCTGTAAAAATGCTACATCTAAACTTTTTAAAAATGTGTGGGTATACTTTAGAATGACCGACCATTAAATATAATTTTGGATTACATTGTTAATATTATTCAACTTTAATTAAACAATTGCAATCGACTTTGATTTACAGAAACACAGCCATTAACACTAGTGACGACTGGTACCATCGTAGCGTTTTAGCATTTGCATGTGGTGGATCTGCCTTACTCACCCTTTTAGGGTTACTGATACTTTCTCGATCACAGCATAAGTTGCAAACTTCAGAGAGCAAAGCAGTATTGAAGGTGAGTTGTTTCGAAACTGATACAAAATGGCAATAAAAACTGGTGTAACCAAGTATAAGAACACTACAAACATGATAGGAAAAGTTTCACTAAACCATAAAATTGTTAACTTTCTTACTACGAAAGCTTCATTGAAAGATTTTGAAATTATTTAAAACTCTAATATGTAAAATCAGGAATGTAAGAAAGCTAAAGCATTGTACTTGGTATGCAAATTACCATTTTATGTAAGCAAGACAACAGTGCTTGTCTCTATGTAAAATGTAACTTGCTAACTTAAAAACTGTAAAATGTCTGAAACACCACTAACAACTTGCATCTATAAGTGACCATTAATATTACATAATAAAATATTGCATGAACAGGAAACTCTCTTATTAGTAAAATATATGATATTTATAAAGTGTAAATATTTATTAACTTCAAACTTGTCTTTCATATATACGCGATATCAATTTATTGATTAACGTCCTGTGTCGAATATTCTTAATTAATTTAACACGGCGAAACATTTACAACTAGTGTAGTGCCCTATCTAACAACTTCAATGAAATATCAACTGATTTATATGAACTTCATGAAATATAAAAATACTAGAATTCTTAGGTATCAAGAAATATACAAAGAAATATCTCAGTATGTCATTAGCAATTGACGTTTTGCTAACACTCATCTTTCTCAAGAGGTAAAGAGGAGTGTTAACAAAAATGTACAACAGGTACATCCCACAAAACTATGCTAAACCTAGAAATAAGGAGAAAGTAATAAATTTGGAACATCTAAAGTCGTCTTCTCATCACAAAGAAAATGTTTTTGTTCATAATAATATTAACGAATTCATGATAGTTCCTCTTACGATAAAGCAATCATAGAATAAATTCCATGTATTGTGAGAAAAATTCCCAGTTACTTACATTCTTACAACTGTTTAGATTCATTTATACAAAATAACATTATAATTCTGTAATTAATACAAGAACTTCCATCTTGTATTGCAGGTTTCTGAAGAATGAACCAACTTGTTAGATCTGACTTCATGGAAGCACAATAGTGTCATAATTAACAGAAAGAGTATAAATCACTATTTTACAATTTATTTTTCCATTAAACTGTAAGCTGGTACACAGTTATGTGTTCTAATAACTTGTGTTTACAGTATCAGAATGGATAGATTATAGTGCTAATAGTAAAAGCTTCGATGAACAGAAACTTATAATTAAAGGAGGCTCCTATCAGTATTATACTATCAGTCATGTTAAGACATTGTAAGAAAGAGTTTTGGAAAATGACTTGAAAGACTTTATAAAATGTATTTGTTATGTACCTTTCTTGTGTTTAAATGGTATTTAGCTCTAGAAACCTGAAGTTTTAATAAAAGTTATCACATCAAAATAAAACAAGCAGGTTCAAAATGAATGGTTTCAGAACAACTTCATTACTCTGAAGTGTAAATAAAAGTACATTTAATTAATATCAAATGTTGAAATTGGCAAATAATAATTCAGATCACTTTGTGAATAATAATAATTTTATTGAATTTTCTATAGATATATGAAGAAATCACAAGATTTCCAAACAAGGAAACTTGTACTCAAAGATGATAAGTCCTCTAAACATGACCTTATACTTTATTCAGGGTAAAAAAAACTTTTACTTGGAACAAACATAAAACAGATATTAATACAATTTTATTTAAAAAAATATTATGATGATATAATGTAAGCCTTAGTTATATAATTTGACGAGTCGGAATAATAGAGATTAAATTACTCATTTTATGGTAAAATATCCTTTTTTTTTTCTCTAAGAAAGAGTTCAGAAACTAAGAGTTTTACTTTTGTTTTCTTACTAATATTCAAAACGTAATTTTTACAATGTTTTCATATACAAAATATAACAATTGGTTCACTGTTTTAATTAAGACATACTCCTGAAGCATTATTTATGGGTAAAATAAATGTGGTTTTTACAATTCACTGTAATAATGAAAAAAGGGAGCTCATATTGTGTCTTTAAACTTGAGTGAAAAGTCACCGTTTTGATACTTTACAATCAAATAAAACATAGGTTAATATATATAAACAAACTTAAATATTTATAATAACATATACCCAATCACAGTGAAAAGCCAATAGCACTTGAAGTTACAAAGTTAATAGATCATCAGGAATAACCAGTGATACAGACAGAAAACTATGACAGTTTCCACATAATCTAACAGGAATAAACAATCAACATGCCATTAAGGTAACTTGATTGATAGTTCTAGGACATTTGACTCCATGTATAACATTGTACAGTTTTCTTATATCACAGTCATTAAGTACTTCACTAATATGCTAAGAAGGGTATACTACAATTTATTCGGTCAAGCTCTTTGTTACGTAATTTTTAAATCATGTTTTTATTAAAAAAAGAAAATGAACTCTTGACAAGAATTTTTGGGATTGAGTTATGGTGTTTGTTACAGTTAATATTCTATAAATCAATATGCCTAAAAATGAAGTAATTTGGTTTAATATGATTTAGTGTATGTCAATTGTTTATAAAAGTACTGAGCTATTCTTCCTTCCAACCGAGACTGTTCCTCTGACACAATTCGGGGATTACCTGTTCTACTGAGAAACCCTACACTATGCGAAAGCAAAATATGTTATTCGGGCTTTATTTAAAGCGAGAAACTACACCCACATTTTCTACTTATCCAATGAAACTCTGAAGTATTATAACAGAAAAAAAGAAAGATTGCTTTCGAAAAGTAAACTTTCCTTCAACAAGTATGAGCCGACAAGTGACTCCCTTACACCGATGAGAAAAGAAATCCATTTTTAAAAATTTATGTTTATTATTGGGTCTTTTAAGTATCAGAGTGGTGAAAGAATAAGTTCAAAAAATACTTAAAAAACAACAAAGTTGTGACATGGACATTTTCAATAAGGAAAAACTCAAGCATGCCACAAGTTATTTAACAACTTGGCAAAAATCTTCTACATTAACATTAATATAATTGTGTTAATATCAGTACATATTTAAACACATTCTTGAAACTGAAATCAATCTTATCATTTAGTCTTAAATATTTAAAAAATATATGCATTCTAAAATAATGTCCATTATCAGACATGAAAGCCTAAAATCATTTTAAAAATAAAAGTTAAGTTCTCCTGTGTGTTAAATTTATCTGATATTTCTAATAAATGAATAAAATTACTTACTAGTGAAATGAAAAAGAAATTAAAGCTTCACACGATTAAGATAAAAAAGTATCTAATGACCTGCGAGGTATTAGGAGGTATAAAATTTGGTTGGAAAATGTCATGTCAGAATTAAAGGAAAATATCTTCCTAAAATTCTAGAAACTTAAATAGAAAAACATCAATTATGTCAGGTTAAAAATAAAATTAAAAACTTAAACAAGGATAAGAGTTAACTACAGGCTTTCAAACTTAAGGTAAGTGTTTGATGTTTTTATAATTAATCTGACTTGCCATTTTTTACCAAAATAATCTTATTTAACAAAAAAAGAACAAAATTTCGTCATTTTTTCTTGGGTTTTTTTTATTTTTGTATTCATTTAAAATTTTTTTAATGCTGGTTTATGAAGCCATTATTTTTTTCATATCACCATTATGTTTTAAACATGTAATTTTCCCAATAATCTTTCTAAAATCATTAACACTTCTTTGAAGAAACATTTAATTATTTTTCTCAAAAAGTCAGTCTAACTGTCTCCACAACAACCTCTCCAAGAAAAATTATCACCAAAATTTAAGTAAAAGTTTGAAAAGAAATTGTCCACATTCATAAACCTTTTTATTCAAAATTGTTTGGCTATGTTATAGCAACTGTCACCACATAAACCTGACGTTTGAAACAGAGCCAAAAAGCTTACTGTAAGAAAACCATTTTAAATTTCAAGAATTCCCGTGTACACTAAATAACTCTTAACCAATATCACGAGCTTTACACAACAATGTGAAAATCAGTTGAACATGAAAAGTTTGCATGCATTATTTTCAAAATACTTGTGCCATTTAATTCAACTTTTGCTTCATATCCTACCATACATTTTCTATGAAGATTTATTGTTTGAACTTAACATTTAGAAAAATAACACCTGATTCCAGGATCTTCCTAAAAAATAGTTATCAACAATCAGAGCATATGAAATTATGTATCCAAGTGTTCTAGCTTTTCTAGTTTGATAAAAAAACGTTTTATAAGAAAAGTACTACAGTCATTAAGCTGTAAGAAGTAGTCTATCGCACTAAACTTTTTAACCCAAAAATAAACTAAAAAGTAAAATTATCACTTCACATTCTCAGTCTATATCATACATTTTAAACCTAATAGGTAAAAAACAACCCAAAATAATAAAACGAATTATATAAACTAGGATTAAAATATATTAAAGATTAAAATAAATCTAGCACAACTTTGTAATTTCTATTCCTTTTAAAGTCTGCTCCCTGAAAGCACCATATAAATAAAACATTTTTTTAGATATTTGTATCACCATCCTAATAGTAAAACTAGACAAAACACAACAGACATTTCAATGCTTTGTGCTATTCACTCACATGGAGTGTATTTTTTTAAAACACGTTCACATCAATGTCTCTGTCTTGAACATGTCATTTCACGTCTCATTCATCATTCATTCGCCCACATCAGCATCTTTGTCACCAACACTGTACAAAAACAAGAAAGATAAGGACAAAAGTGCTGTTCCCAGGAAGTCACCTAAGGCTGTCAGATATGGTATTGCTGAATTATCTGGATCAATGCTTTTTTTCCACATCCAGTGTATCATACAAAATGCTATGTACAACAGTATTAGTACCTAGAAAAATCAGAATATAAATATTTTACATTCCTGTATTACAGAGCATCTGTTGGATAAAAGCTTCAAAACTTGCAAATATGTTAATACATACAATCCCTAAAAAAATTAAACAATGAGATTATATATTTGTACTTAATTATAAATTTCATACATTTTCAAGTGGAATCTCTTTTTCTAGCAATAAAATTCAAACTTCTACTTGAAACATTTACTCAGATGAGTTCATCTTTGCTGGCAGCATAAAACAATTAGAAAAATACTCATTAGGTTATATTTATTGAAACAACACACATATATTATTTAAAACAATCAAGAAAGGCATAAACAAATCATTCATCACACTAGTCTTGTTTGATATCCTCGTAATAGAAGCATTAAGTAGTTCAAAATCACATTCATTTATGGAACGTCGACTTGTTTCTGAAAATGATAACTGTTCTATCCAAGTATCATTTTTCCCTATTTTATAAATTGGGCAATTATAATTATTTTAAATTTATTGAAGAACAAAAAAACAGATGTAAGCTAAAAGCTAATAAAATTAAATAAGTACATAATATACAAAAGTACCTACATGATTAATTTGATAAATTACCATTAATTTAGAGACTTTTTAATTTACTTATTAATTAACCATTAATTTTTGTACTTAATAAAGACACTTCAATCAGCAAAGTGAAACTGAACCTCTAAAATACAGTGGCATAATTATATTTCACTTCTAATGTTTGTGGTTTACTAATGAATATAAAAGTTGAATACAACTTACTAAAGCAACAAAACAGCTACAAAAAAATAGATAAAAAAATCATTACTGGCATCATATAAAAATGTCCATGCTTGTATATTATTTCAAATGTTCAGAAGTGAGTAGTAATACCATTCTATCTTATTTACTTCAAATATTTTAAACATACAACTATAATCTTCAACAAATACATTACCTGTATAACAGCAGCAGTCAAGTACGTTACAAGGAAAATCAGAGTAATTGAGGTGTGACCAGCTTGTACAAAATGGATCCCGTATGTGAAGATGAGATGCCCTGGAATGACCATCAACATCAGGACACGAGCTGTCCTAGCATGAGGATCTGAAAAATTAAATGGTTAAAAGATTTAGATGAACAAAGTCACTAACTATTCTTATACAAACCAACCTAAACATGTGATAAGTGAAGGTAAATAAGATCACTAAAGACTGGTGGTTTCAAAAACTAAAATTCAGTCAACTGCATTTTTCATTTGAAAACTTCCAAGCTTCTAAAGCTAACAAAACCATAAATATATTTTCAGTAAGTTGGGATTTTCTCTCTCTCCCAGTTTATTTGCCATAAAGTCCCCTTTTTTCTTTATAGAGACTGTAAATTTTTAAATTTTCAGTTATTATGCCAGACATCTGTTTTATAATATGGAGCTTTGTAAATTCTGAAGGCATAGCTGTCAAATTCTCTTTGAATATTTTAAATGGCATAAATATATATGTTTAGCCATAGAAAGTCAACATTAGCTACGTGTAGATTGCCAAAGATTGCCACCATCTTTTGGCAATGTATAAACACTTCCACACTGACATTCCAGACATCACAAGGCTACTCATTTTATTTTACTCTTGGAGCATCTTGAATTATTTCTCAACAAGAAAGCATAAACTAATAATTTTCCTGTTCCCCTGTCAGGAAATAAACTTTTGTTTCTTACTTTATTTTTTTAATATTTTAAGCTCTACTGCATGATACTATTATATTCTGTACTGTAATCAGTCATATGGTTGGTCGACTCTTTTATTTCATTTACTTGGGTCTGACTCACTTTAGTGCATGGGCTCACTGCAGCACTTGCACAATTGTGTACTGCCCTGAGCACAGTTAAGTGAATCAAAGTTAACACATGTGATAACCTTATCTCCATTTCATTGTGATAATACATTTTTTCAACTTTAAAAACTATGGAACAATCTTTTAAATACCTTATACACTTCGTGATGCCCTAATTATAAGGGGGCATACATCAATTATAGCTATTCTCAAAACACATGACATCAATCCAACAAACAATGTTGTTTTCCTTACTGTACACTTTATTATCACCATGAATTATTCACAGGTCCCTACTAGTTTTTTTGGGTTGCACGTTTCCAAGTAATCTAAGTATATTCTAGTTTTGTATGTATGAAGAGAAAAGAAGTGGATTTTATAGGTTCTCAAACTTATTTACTATTTTTTGTTGAAGTAATTACTTTATTTCCTTTTCATTTTATAAAAAAGATCCCACCAGTAATTTGAAACTATCAGGTTTTACTGTGGACTTTGCCCCTGCATGAGCTTAAGGTTAGTAGGAAGTCTTTCTGAAAAAATGGTACAAAATTTTTAAAACATGTAAAATGGTAGCTTTTATAAATACAATATAGTATAATAAATACTAATATTACGTACTTATGTCACTTTCAATAAAATATACACCATTTTACTGTTAAATTTCTTTCATCAAAGAGAGCTAGTGCATGATATTATTAGACTCATGATTGTATTTTGCTGATACAATTCAGATCTTGCCAGTGTTGTATATATTTTCAGTCAAAGCAGTCTTCTCTTTGCGAACACACATGTCAAATCTGGCCAGTGTTATAAATGTTTTCAGTCAGAGCAGTCTTCTCTTTGCTAACGCACACGTCAAATCTGGCCAGTGCTAGCAAAGAGAAGACTGCTCTGACTGAAAACATTTATAAAACACATGTCAAATCTGGCCAGTGTTATAAATGTTTTCAGTCAGAGCAGTCTTCTCTTTGCTAAAACACATGTCAAATCTGGCCAGTGTTACAAATGTTTTCAGTCAGAGCAGTCTTCTCTTTGCTAATGCACACGTCAAATCTGGCCAGTGTTATAAATGTTTTCACTGAGAGCAGTCTTGTCACACCAGCATTTACTTAAGTCTTAAATCACTAGTTCTATATGTTTCTGTACAATGTGTATTGCTGTATGAATAAATAATTGTATTATGAATATAACATGTTTTTTTACTACATGCTAGCTATTTTACCTTTTTAACCCTATCCCTAAGTAAGTCAAAGTTTGCATGTCACAACTCTTCACAGTTAGATTAAAAATTTAATTAAAGTACTTTATTATCAATTTTACAAATACACTTCACATCAAAATGTAATTAATAAATCAAATTTCAATATTATATAAGTTTTAATTTTAAAAGGAAATATTTGAATAAATCTTCAATCTCCCCAGGTATGTGTATCATGACATTTGTTCACCCAGACTTACCCATTTGTTTTTCTCATCACCTCCCTTTGATGTCCTGAGTTTAACATAAATCACTCATTATAGTATAGATATTACTAAGATATAGTCTAGTTTTATAGTCTTCAATCTTCTTTATTCTTGGAGACATTAGCTAGAAAGTCATTCCCACTTGTCATGCACAGAAATCACATCCTCTCTTTCACAAATTGCCAATAATATTCTCTTATTTTTGCTATTACATCATTTATGACCAATAGAAAGGCAATGTTTAATTTCCCAAATGATGAATAATGCTCTTTGTTCTCAGTAAAAACTCTTAGTAATTTCACCAAAAGATTGAAAATTGCTACACCAAGTTCAGATTGAGTAGCTAAGGAAATTATTTTAAGGCACTTCTACCCTAGTTATTAGAAAGCCAGTTAAATTATAATAGTTATAGAACATTGTTTGCTTTGTATATGTTATTATTTGGTGTTCTTAAGTGCATAGTTCAAAGTACAAATTATTTAATGTACTAATATTAAAAAAGAAGTAGTTGATAATTTCACTGGTGGGCTAACAACAACAAAAAACACATGAGGCCAAAAGTAAGTAATAAATTTGTTTTTTATACAATTTTTTTTATTGTTATAAAATTAATTAAAATGTAAAAACTAGAAACTTATTGGGTTAGATAACGAAAAAAAAATAATAATTTCTCTAAGTATGCTGGGAAACACGGTAACTTGACCTATACATTTGGTGTGTGATTTACAGCTTGAATCACAGGATTACTAGTTAGACACAGTTCAAAGAACAATAAAATTAAATAAAAACAGATGTAAACTGCTGAAACTTAAGCTGTTTACAATAAATAATTGTAATTTTCTAGTATATCTGCAGTGATTCTAGAAAACAAAAAGGTAATTTACATATATTACGTATTTTTTGTGGTGGTTACAGGGTCGGTCAAATGTAGAATCCATATAGTGTTAGAAAAAATAACAGCTAAAATTGTTTTGACTGGATAATCATTAAGGAAGTTCTAGAGGTTATACAAACAGAAAAAGTACTTTAATCTCATCATAAAAATCATTTTGCACTAGAACTATTCAGACATTCACTTCAGAAATTCCCAGGCAGATATTCAGTAAAAAACACTTAATTAAAAAATCTGATTTTTGTGTTTGCAAAAGACTTGGAATGTTTCCTAGAGGCTTGCCACATTTTGTGAAACAACACTTACTACATTAAAAGTTATAGTATTATACTTTCATGATCACCTGGTGGTTGGTCCATATATAGAGGTATAGGAGTTTATGTGAAGATCTAATAAATATGTGAATGATAAGGGCTGGCTTTGAGTGTTTTATATTTATTTAAAAACTTAGTTTAGTACTAAGAGGAGACTCGTATTCTTTGCTTTAATCAGATTTACATTTTAAATTCATGGTCACACTCATCATGCAGTTGAGAAAAAAAGGAGAAAAACTTACAACTATGAAATCATGTTAAAAGTAGGTATAAGAATATATATATAAACATAAACCTTGCACAATATCAAGGAAAACTTCACTGGTTATTATTAAATACTAACTGACCTAGACTATCAAGTATTTTGAGTAAGAAAGGTAAAACAAACACTATCACAAGAAAATAATTTGTATTTATTAAAGAACATAAACACTTACTACTGCTGCAGAAGGCAGAACAGGGATCAATACAGAAATGTGAATCACTCGATGGAAGGGTGCCTAACTTTGATCTTTGGTGGAGAAAAGTGGAAATACGACTAGCTTGAACCGCAACCAGATTTCCACCAACACCTATGTTAACCAAAGTAATGAATTAAATGCACATATAATCTCAGGCAAAGAATCATTTACAGTACTAAGAGGAGACTCGTATTCTTTGCTTTAATTAGATTTACGTTTTAAATTCATGAATATATTAATTACACCATGAACTAATGGTTAATAGACACTTAACAAATAGAATCAATGTTTTTTAAGAAAGGTAGAAACTGTAGATTATGCAAGTCATGATGAGATCATGAAGCATGTTTGTGATATGTAAGTAACTGCAAGAAACCAATAAACTCTTTATGAAAACATCATCAACTCAACTACAACAATCAGTTAGTGGTGTTATTCTTTACCTATTTAAATGTATAATAAATATAAAGACTTTCTTTACACCATTCTATTTTTTAATTAGACTTAACATTAACAGTCGTTAATAACAAGAAAAAAAATCAACATTTTTTTAAATATTTTTGCCTGGAATCATACAGTACATACTTATGACAAGGTGATGTACATAAACTCAAACTGACTATCTTATAATTTTCTAGATGTCTGCTTTAGATGCTTAACAGTAAAAATCAATAAAGAATAAAGTGAAATCTAATACAGAATATACAAGGCATATAATAGTACATTCCACGACAAGAAAAGACTAAGCATAACAAATGTACAATTCATTCATTTTTAAGGTCACATAACTATACTAACTTAATTTTTGAATCAATCTATCTCTATTCACTTAAATGTTAACTTACCATGAGTGCACTGTCTGAAGTTTTATTTAAGATACCCAACTGGGCTATTTTTTTTCTTTCTAGAAACCACAATTATATAGCTGACACAGTCAGAACATTACAAAATATACTTAGATTCATTCCAGTACATCCCTGCAATTATCTTAATCTTTCTAATTTCAGAATGATGAACTTTGTGAAATAAATGTCAAATTCAAGTTTGATGACAAGGAACCCACTTTTTAGAAAATAAAGTTTGGAGACAATGTGAATAGGTAGTGAAAGAAACTATTAAAAATGTACAATGTTAAGTGTCAATTCTTTATCAGTCTTTACTTCTGCTTTTCCATCTGACACCAAATACACCCTTTTACTGCAATTTCTTTCTATTATCTAACTATAATCCAATTGTATATGCAACTAACTGTCCAAGAAATATTAATCCCTAGGTCTCACACCATGTTAACTAAACACCATCTGCATTCTTTTTTACACTATTTCTTCACACCATATTAAACAAATCCAATGTGCAATATCCTTACAGATCCCAAACTATACAACGTGTTAATAAATGCCATTGATTATTCTTTCACTATTTCTTCAAACCACAAATCTTTGCACCTTACATCCATTTTTCATACTGTTTAACTGAAATTCAAAAAACATTGCATTTGATAAAAACCCACCATTAATAACAGGCTGGAAAACAGCAATACCATGGAACCTTGTGACAGCAAAATCTAATATACAACCTCCAATGCTGTGAAAAAAAAAGTGGTTAAAAAAATGTTAGTTAAAGAACAAAAAATATTTTTTGGAAAAATCTGTATATATATATATATAAAAGAACAATAAACAATTTTCATAAATAAAACTCACAATTTTGGAATAAACTGTGAAACTTAAAATGTACTAAAAAATATTTTGAGCATTTCACCAAATACAGGACCTTAAGAATTTTATTTTAAACATTGTTTGCTAGATAATGACATACTCAAAGCATCCCCCCCATCAAGTAAAACAAGTGACCTGAAAACTTTTTGCAAACAAAGATGAGAGAACATTATCAAATCAAAGTTTTACAACCATCTATCTTTAAGCAACTGAAAATTAATTCATTCATACAAAAGTGTTGCTCTATAGTTTTTAAATGATCAGTATAACAAAGGCTTCTTAGAAGTAACTGAACCACATCATATTTACAGTTTTATTGCTGATATTATGATCTTTATGTATATCATTTGAAAGCATTGAATAAAAATTGGCTTGGATTCTTAACACTTCCATGCTTTCCACTTAAACAATCATCTACTGCACGTCCGAGTCAGCAGGTGACTGAAAATTTCACTATACGACATTTCTTTATAAAACACTGAACACAAATTTGCCACCTCACATGATACAAACAATATTGCCTTTACTCTGTTAATGTGTAATTGAGAAAAAAAGTTTTTAAGGCTATAAGATATCACGAAGAACAGAATACGACGAAGCAAGCATTCTCTCAAATTGCTAACACTTTTGGAAAAACGATTCTAATTAGCATGCTCAAGAAGATTTTTATGCCAAAAGAACTAAAAGAAATCATGTATTTTAACAAAAAGATTTGTTATTATAACTTTTTCTCAACTGATTACATATCCAAAAACAAAGTGTAAAAATTTCAACCAAAAGAGAACCTTGAAAAATGTGTATTTAAGATTAACTGGCCTCAACAGCTCTGCACAACTAGTTTGCCCACAGCAGCTACACAGTTCTTATACTTTCATGCCTCTAGTTACATTTTGTATATTCTTATATTTAAATAGTTACATATCTTTCCAAGATCACTGGCAAAAATATTCATATTTTATAAACTAACTGGCTTGTCATTTTAATGTTTGCTTGGTGTTGTCAGAAATAACGTAATATTCACTGAAAACATAAGAAAATAATTTAGTTTACAAATCAATAATGCTGTACTTTTTTATTATTATTATTATTATTTATACTTGAATATTTGTATTATAAATAATCAATTAACATCCAAGAAAAGCTTCTAAAGTCCACCTAGCTGTATAGAACTCAAGTACAATAACACATATTTTTCCAACTTATTTCGGATTTAAAAGTCAACAAATTATTTGCCTATTAACCCACAGAACAAACCATTGTAGCAATGATTGAACTATTTTGTAAATTAACGTTAACTTGCACTGGAAAAAATGTTGTTTACAAAAATCATTAAATTACATTTTATCTTAAAATTTTGTTTTACAATATGATGATTAAATTTAACTATTCTTAAGAGTATAATTGTTATTCTAAATACCATGGTTTTATTTTTAAACAAAAAATATTGTACCTGGATATTGTCATAGCAGAAATCACTGGAATCCAACCCGAGTAAAGGACATCATGTGTGAATTCATTATTGTGTGCTATAAAGCTCCAGAGTGGAAGTAATAGAAGGGCAAATGCAACCACCAAGGGTGCTACCCACACATTAGTACCTGATTTAATAACCAAAATCTATGTTACAGAACATGTTAAATAAAGTACAATCCACAAGAAAAACCTCATATGCATTGCACTGACCAATGGTACACTGATGCTATTTATATGCCAGTACTTTTTTATAAAATGTTTACAATTAGTGCCACATAAACTGTTACTGTACTTCAACAATACTTAAACTTTTCTTTAAACTTTACAAGATATAAATATAAAGGTAAAGGAAATTTTTTTACACATGAGCTTTAATTTTAAATCCACATAAATATATTTAAATTTGAAAGAAAATTAAATATTCTCATATTTTCTTGCCTATAGTTACATTTTATATACGCTTATATTCAAACAGTTACACGTCTTTTCATGACCACTTGCAATAATATTTGTATTTCATACAGAAACATATACAAGTACATATTTAAAACCATATCCTTTAATACTAAGCCATTGAACAAGGAAGTGGTTGTTCTTCATGTAGAAGTTGCAGAATTTTGACTGCCTACTCTAGCTGTGATAATTATGTTTGATCTGATTTAAGATAAGTTGAAACATATACAATTAAGAAAGTTCAACATTAAAAGAGCACAGCATAAAAAATTTGGCATTTTTTTATGGATTAAAAGTATTGCAATGTATACATATACTTCAAATCAAGGCTGGTTCTTACATACAAATCTAATGAAAATAATAAAATAATACTTCTTTCTACAAAATCAAACAAAATTTAAAAATTAATAACTGAACTAAATCACAATACAACCTACCTAGGTTACTGAAAAAAAAATTACTAATCCAAGCCAACAGAGCCAATGTTGTAAGATCTCCCAATGATGCAGCTATTGGAGTGGCTATGTTGTCAGGATTTATGTGACATTTGACAGATAAAATGACTACAGCAACCATTAGTAAACCTACAATAAAAATAAATTAAAAACTGTATATTTCTACATGCTCAAGCATATCTCCTTAACATAAAATACTAATATGACATTTTCAAAATAACGGGAACATATTTTATGTTTAAAGAATTCAAGATATTAATGTAGATAAATTGTGTAGCATGGCAATAATGTGTATACAAACTATCTAAAGTAAGACTAGCAACGCTGGCTGTCAGAAGGTTAGTAAGACAACTAATGTAACAACATACCTAAAGTAAGACTAGCAAAGCTGGCTGTCAGAAGGTTAGTAAGACAACTAATGTAACAACATACCTAAAGCAAGACTAGCAAAGCTGGCAGTCAGAAGGCTACTAGCACAACTAATGTAACAACATAGCTAAAGTAAGACTAGCAACGCTGGAAGTCAGAAGGTTACTAAGACAACTAATGTAACAACATACCTAAAGTAAGACTAGCAAAGCTGGCAGTCAGAAGGCTAGTAACACAACTAATGTAACAACATACCTAAAGTAAGACTAGCAACGCTGAAAGTCAGAAGGTTACTAAGACAACTAATGTAACAACATACCTAAAGTAAGACTAGCAATGCTGGAAGTCAGAAGATTACTAAGACAACTAATGTAACAACATACCTAAAGCAAGACTAGCAATGCTGGCAGTCAGAAGGCTAGTAACACAACTAATGTAACAACATAGCTAAAGCAAGACTAGCAATGCTGGAAGTCAGATGGTTACTAGCACAACTAAAGTAACAATATACTTAAAGCAACACTGGCAGTCAGAAGGTTACTAAGACAACTAATGTAACAACATACCTAAAGCAAGACTAGCAAAGCTGGCAGTCAGAAGGCTAGTAACACAACTAATGTAACAACATAGCTAAAGCAAGACTAACAGTGGTGGCTGTCAGGCGGTTACTAGCACAACTAAAGTAACAATATACTTAAAGCAACACTGGCAGTCAGAAGGTTATTAAGACAACTAATGTAACAACATACCTAAAGCAAGACTAGCAAAGCTGTAAGTCAGAAGGCTAGTAACACAACTAATGTAACAACATACCTAAAGCAACACTGGCAGTCAAAAGGTTACTAGCACAACTAATATAACAACATACCTAAAGCAAGACTAGCAAAGCTGGCAGTCAGAAGGCTAGTAACACAACTAATGTAACAACATAGCTAAAGCAAGACTAACAGTGGTGGCTGTCAGGCGGTTACTAACACAACTAAAGTAACAATATACTTAAAGCAACACTGGCAGTCAAAAGGTTATTAAGACAACTAATGTAACAACATACCTAAAGCAAGACTAGCAAAGCTGTAAGTCAGAAGGCTAGTAACACAACTAAAGTAACAATATACTTAAAGCAACACTGGCAGTCAAAAGGTTACTAGCACAACTAATATAACAACATACCTAAAGCAAGACTAGCAATGCTGGCAGTCAGAAGGCTACTAGCACACAACAGAAGACCGTGATGAATATCAAACTTCCCTTCTGGGATCCATCCCATTATCATAGCAAACAAGGATGCTAGGAAGCCCACCACACTGGCTTGACACTGAAAATAGAGAGATCTTAAAATAATTACAGAAGTTAACCCCCCTCACACACACAGATGTCTGTCACTACCATCTAAAGTATTAATTATCAAAATTCTCCCTCGATATGCTACTACTAATAATACAATTAAACACGATTAAAAATCTGAGTAATATTTCCTAGAAACAACACAAAATTGTAATAAATTAATTTTTTCTACATAATACATGTACAAATGTCATTTTTATACGTAATCCAATACAAATAAGGAAAACTTGCCTGAAGAAGAGCCATGTTTCCATATGTAATCTTCCATTGTTGAGAAAGGGAATCAAGGTTTCCAAGATTGGCCTAAACAGAAATATAGATAGTTAGTCAAGTTATACATGTGGAGGATATGAAAATTGTTTTTAGGTTTATGTATATATACATTTGAATAACTAAAAAATCATAAATTACTACATCAATACCATAGAATTCAACTATAATTTATCGAGCTTAGTAACCGAGATATATTTTACTTTCAAAAAAATATTAAATTTCGAGCAGACTAAAGACACAACCTACTGATTTAAATCTTGGTTCAAAAGAAAGAAATGGTGCTAGCCACATTAGAAAGGCTGAGAAAACTACTAGGGGGAAATTCTGAGCTTCCAATTGGTTATTCGTGTCACATATAGAAGTGTATATAAGGAAGCATTTCCAAAAATGGAATGAGCAATATCTTAGCAAATAGAAGAGATAAGACCTTCTTATTTTATATTCTAGCTTGTCAATATCTGTAATTTGAGTTTCTAATTCATACAAAACCATAGACTTAGTATTTTGACTTCACAAACATCTAATTTGAACCAGTGCTGCATCCAACAAACCACGTGCATACAAAAATCAATGTTTATCTGTGTTTTTTAACATTTACTTTTAAATTAAAAAATTGAGTAATGTA